TTGTAACAAGCTTTCAAAGTGTCGACGGTGAATACGTGCCTATCGAGGGAGACGTCGTGGAATATCGTAAAATGCTTATCCCTCCCAAGAATGAAAAATACCAAGCAGTTCATGTAAGAATAGTCAACCTTAGTTCAGAAAAGCATAAGACCTGGGATGAGCCAGCCTAGTTCTTAAAATTCAAACAACTGACGTTGTGGTTAATATTTTCAAAAACCGGTCATATATATATATATATATATATATATATATATATATATATATATATATATATATATTATTCATATTCCAAATAGTTCAACTACCATTGTTCACTAAAACTTAGTTTTCCTAGAGCCTAAGAGGTATAAAGCGTAAAAATTCAGAATATGTTCGAGACTGATGTAAGTTTATTTCTGTCAGCGTGGTTGAAACTACTCCGGAAACTGTAAGCTCACGTATATCACTATAATTAAAGCTGAAAAATCCAAAGATTTCTGAACCCCTGTTTAAATGTGTCAACAGAAAGAAAAGTTCCTAATCCTCTTCTTGGAAATCAGTACTTTGCAGAGTTATGCAAGGCTATGTTTGGCACGTGTTATCTGCTCTCCTGAGTTACTTCACGCCATGTCAAAGTCTGGTCAATGGATGGAATGACATTGCATGTTCATCCCGAACTTGCTTAGACGTTCTGGAAAACTGGTTTAAATTGGGGTCAATATTTATTATTGTGTGTAAATTCGTACTTACATGTTGAACACATAAATGTTGACAATCATAACAGAAGTTTAATCCTCTTAATCTTGTCAAGTTCAGGGGTATAGCCGATTATTATGATGATGAGCCATAAACATATGAACTCGACTCGCTAGCGTGCTGTTGCAACTAGGATTCTGACCCTTATGAACGTTGAGCATTTATCAAGCTAGATACAAACATGTGTACAAACCTATCGAAATTTAAACTAGCGACCAAGCTCCCACCCTCTGTATAAAGTTACACACACACCTTGGGAAATAGACGGATGACGACTTCCCCTCCATACACAACTTTACCTCTACTTTCTTACACCAGATTAAGTAGTGAGGTAAATTCGATAAATTGGGTACTTGGGAGTAATTTTGGTCGTATGTCTCTTTCAAGTAGGTCAGGTTGACAGTAGGGGAGTTTGATAATGAAGAGCGAATACGGAACGTGTATCATATAGGTTTTCTTGTCGAGTAATCAACTCAGCACCCTTTATCCTCATCTAACAATTGGCTTGCAAGAAGGTTAGACACTACAGCTTATTAGGGAAGTCTGTCGGCCTTCAGTCCTCAATATGAGATTATTAACCTTTGTGGGAGAAACGATGTACTGATTGTTTCTCAAAGTGTGCATCTAATAGTGCGTAGGTCCTCCAGGAAGTATGACCCTTGCAATGTTGCTTTTCGTTCAAAGTTAGTTCTTGGATCTCACTTTCACGTCATTTAGTTAAGATCCGTTCACGGAAATGGACCTTGTATGTGAATGTTCGCTAGAAGTCAATCTCCTGTCAAGTGTCCACAAGAATTCTAAAGGAGTTATTTCTATGCGGCGAATTTCGCGAACTGCGCATACACGTACTGAGACGCTTGAATCTAAACAATTTGGTGTTAGGCTCATGATCTTCCAACTATTTATTCACAGACTGAACACTTGCAGTCAGAAAAGTCTAGTTCGAACGTGGTTGTAAGAGCTTCTACCTGGTTCCTAATGTACATTCTTCTAGATACAGATACGTAGACATAACTGTTCTCGTGAGGGTTGAATGCTGCTCTTTGTTGAGCAGTCGGACAACTTTTTATGCCTCTGGAACTTCTACTATATATAACAAGATGCACATTAGGGTCCCAATAGATTTTAATAAGAAATAGAGGATTTGCATTATTGCAAGAGTTATATGGTTGAATGGGCTATAACAGCTACAGACTATGTCCTCAAACAATCTGCTTAAAATTTATAATATGTTGATAATGAGGACTTAAGGAGTGAGAAATCTTAAAATATAAGAAACAAGCTTTGTGGTGCACAAGGATGATAACTGCTAACATTATATACTTCATTGCTAACCTGCGGCTTGTCAGTGTCAGTGTTATAATTGAGCACGATTTTAAAAATCGACCAAACATCAAGGGCCTTAATCAAGAAAGTACTTTTTGCCTGAGACTCCGCTAGTAATGCAAAAATACATGGCACAGTCAGTCAAATGCACAAAGGAACTTAGCACACATGTAGCCGTTCAATGTGCCTTGCCACATTAAGATAGCGAGATGAAATTACCGAGACAAGTCCAGTCGATAATATCGGTTATAGAAAGATCAGGATTTTGCGACTTGGCTTCTCGGGATTGACAGGGTTGATGCACTGCAAATAGCTCTGAGCAGTCACTCAGCCCCTAATCGCTTGTTACAATAATCGGTGTAAGTACTTGCCGCGTAATCCACTCTTACCTACACTGCTCACTCAATGATTCAAAGAGTTGACAACAAATCTTGGTTTGACCGCTCCTAGCCTACTTCACTCGACGGTGTTGCTCGGGGAAGTAAGCGTTGATTTGGCGCACGTTATACATGTTCTGACCACGTTAGTTGACATAGATTCGTCGCCTCATCAATCAATTTGTTACCCTCACCCAATACCTTAACCCCGGCATTGTTTAGTCGTTGGTCCCCTGCAATGAAAACACGAGTGGTGTTTCGAGAACGAGTAACCTACGTATATCTGCTATCCCTAATGGCCATGGTTCTTAGCCATAAAGTAAAAGCGAACCGCTGTTGAACAAGCTCATCTTTTCGTCTATGCCAAAGGTGAAGTAAGTTGGCAGCGAACTAAGGATGACAAAACTTTAAGGATAATCATACAGTCCATAATGAATTTGAACATCTTATCGTCTGATAAATGTTTAGGCCAGTCAGTTATGCAAGCAACTACTAACAACCACAGACCCGAATTTAGTCACTTAGTGTATGAACTACTGGTCCAAGTCTTAGCAACAACTTCCCTTTGGAGACTAAGCGTCTGAAGGGTTTAGCGAGCAAAAGGCAGAACTTCACATGATGATTTTAGTTTCTATAGAGTTAACATATCCCGAAACTATTAAGTTATTGAGTTCAGGTGCCAGGAAACTTCCTCGATTTCGCCAAGATCAATTCCCACACAATCTATGTACTTGAGGCAAGGTTTAGTGATACGAGGCTGAAGTATACAGTATAATAATAGGAAAGGATGTATTTTTAGGATAAAAATTGCAAGGTTATTTAAGAATCGTTTCGTAATATAATTTTATTCATTGTTATTTTTCTAATTACGATCCAGTCAAAGTAACGCGACAAACAATCCTGAGGTTACACGTGTAAATTAAAATGACTGAAAATATGCTAGTAAGAACTATAAAGCAGCTTTGATAACAGATAAACGCCCTTTAGAACTATAGTAGTGAAGTAAAAGGGTAACGTTTTAGATTAATAAAGTTTTATAAGCATCGGAATCGTGAACTGACCCAAGGTAGACCATCACTGAAAGCTTGGAAGCACCAGATAACCGTTCCGGTCTATACTGCGACCCCGGTAGTACACGGACGCGAGACTCGAACGCTGCTCCTGTCTCGCGTGCGAACACACCAGACCGCCTAACCGGAACCTTATGGTATTAATGTCTAACCTTGTCAATCTTATTAGTGGAAATTCTTGCGGTACCATAGAAATATTGAAGATGTGTGCCCAGGTCGACTTAGTTTCATGATGCACCTATGTCTCTTCATTTCATGCATGAGAATGGTATCATTGACTAACACTTCAGTGTATACAAAATTTCCTTCTGAGCACTGAGTAAAAGTCAACTTCATATCCATATCCGTTTTGACAATGAGCGGAGTTGATGCAATGCTAGGTCCTTTTTGTAGAGTGTGTGGGCATGGGTGGACAGACATCCAACACAAACTTTGATTAGAAAAGACACTACTGTCAGTGTTTATTTACCATCGTCATATAAGCATCAGTCTAGTCTTTCGAAAATATCGAATGATCAGTATTGGGATTGGGCAATGATCTTGTTTAGCCAATGTACCCAATATCCCGATTTTTGGGAAGTTGTAATAGAAAATTCTGGGGAAATGCAACAAAAAACCCTAAAATCGAGAGATTGGATAGTTTTCTTGAATAGCACACAGCTTGTAACTGTTTTGTTTATTTATTATTTATTTAAACACATAAATATTGGTACAAGGAAGCACCTGATACATATGCGCCCCACAAATCTCATTCGATTTGTGTGATGTCTGTGATATAGCCCAGATGCCCAAACTGAAGAAGGTGGTTTTCTTAGGGGGCCACACCCGGAGCCTTTGACCTAAAGATCTGATCCACAAGTCAATGGAGCATCGTGAGGAGATTCACTCCAATGGTAGCCGGTGACCAACGATTGATTCATACGCCATTTGCTCCCTTCAGGGTACTGGAGCCCATGTGCACCATTGATTTGGAATCAGGGTTTTCCAACTCCCCTAGGTGGACCCTCCGTGTCCACCAACCCGGTTAAAGCGCCGGACATTCGCTTTTCGTCCTCTCACTTTCGTGAACAACACCCCCAGCCACGAGAAGGCAGTGAGTAGGACTTCCTTGACAGAGGCTATATACGCGTGGCCATGTGAGAGCATTTGGAGAGGGAGAGCGGACTCTCCCTACTCTCGGCCGTACCAGGGCATTTGGGGGCGCTTGTAACTGTGGTTATTGTGTCTTCTCCTGTGCCCATACAAATGCTTCGTAGTTTACGGTAAATGTGTCGAAGTGGTCCCACAGACAGATGGCTATGTTACCGCAACCCAGAAGCCTGAAGCGTGAAACCACGATGGGGAAGAAATTTTTGTGACAACACGCCAATGCATCACAAGGCAAGCTCCTACATGGAATCCTGAAGGCCAAAGGAGAAGAGGATGACTAAAAAACACATTACGCCGAGAAACAGAGACAGACATAAGAATGAACAAAAACTGGATAAAACTAGAAAAGAAGGCCCAGGACAGAGTGAGTTGGAGAATGCTGGTCGTCGGCTCCATTGGAAGTAACAGGCGTAAGCAAAGTAAAAGTAAAAAAAGTGAGTGCTCATATATTCATACTACTATGTAGCAGTCATGTAAAAGGTTGCTGTTCTAGACTCGTGGTCCGAGATAATATTAACTCTTACAGAGAAAGATGGTATCCTATACCAGCTAAATAGTGACAAAATAATTGGAGGTGGTTTTCTTAACTCAGACTTTCAAGTTACTTAGTAAGATAACATGGTAGTAAACAGTGGATATACAAACATGTAGACAGTATTAGCAAATTCATGTAATTGTATTTCAGTCAAATGAAAAGGATATCTGTAAGGTTGTATACCTACGGTTTTATCAGTTTATTCGAACGGTCAATTGTGTACATATTTTTAAATCACAGGGTTCAATCTGAGTGACTCCCGAACATTGTTAATCCGCTTATCCAGAAGAGCTAAGTTGTCACGAAACTCCATTTCGTCAATCATCTGAGGTGGGAGAATACTGGAAGTTACACTAGAAGATAAGGAACATTTATCATCAAGCTCTGTGATTTCTTGCTGATTAACTGTTTTTCGGATCTACAAAGTATAAAAACGCATTTTTGTAAAATATAGATGTAATAAGCTGTGTACTTGTAAGTTTAGTTAGGAATTATGCTTAGACAATAATAATGCTTACGTACTTCATATTGAAGATCAATAAAAATGGCAGTTTTAGATTTTAATGTTAACGCTTTTTACAGTTATCAGTGTTACACCTCGTGATTGTACTCGTTATATTTGGCTTGAATTGTAAATAAGTTAGTATCTGTGTGTAACTGTTAGTATAGCGTTTGTTGAAAATTCGTTTACGAATCATTCCTCTAAACGGGACTTTTTCCTGCACATTGAGTAAAGGTGTTTTGGAATCTTATTTGAGACTGTGTATTATGCACAATAATTTTAAATGACAAAGTTAGACATAGTAATTAATATTAATGCTATGATCATTTTATTAATGGTTGTTTCGTTGAGAATTCTCTGGAACATTATTTCCATTTCTTTAAAAAATAAAAACTACATGAAAAATCTAATGTGGTTATTCTCTAAGAAGTGAATAAAAATTTTTCATTAAGGCGCAGATGTATCTTTTACTGTATGATCTGAATGAAAACAAAAAGAACATATATTATTCTTTCATTAGAATTGAAAATTACCACAAATTGTTCTTGAAATCTGAATTCATGATGAATGAACCCCAAAATATAAATCTACTGTTTAATCCCGTGCATTACAACTAAGCTAACAACTCCATTGGTGATAAAAGCCGCCAATGAATTGAGTTAGGAGAGTTTATTTACACAGACAAGTTAAGATGCGCATAATGAAAAAAGTTTTCTCAGTCTACTAAATTTAAATAAAATTTGACATATGTAGAGATGAAGGATACAATGAGTCCTACAAATATATGCGAACGCGCACAGACAAACCATTTATAAAGCATACTCAAGATTACACATAAGTAATTGGCAAGGGCAATGTATAGTTGGTCTATGTGTTACTAAGATGTTAGATAGTTTTGTAATGACAGTGTCCGACTCCCAGTTCAAATAGATTCTGTTGTGTTTAAATTACAGTAATTTGCCAAAGACAAATCAGCGTTATAAAAATGCCAGGAAACGAAAGTTAGGAGGAATTCAGTTATGGTCTGCGGATGTTGAGTTGATAGTTACGGACCAATTCCGTTAACATAGAACACTTCTTAAAATACTTTCTAGTCTCAATAATAAACAAATTTTCTTATGGCGGATCTAACTTCATAATATATTCCTATTCTATGAGTATATCAGAGTTGCAAATGTTTGTTGGTAAATACCCACTTCCCGACAGTTTATTATTAACATTGTTAGTAGTGAGATTAGATTGTGATGGAGTTCGTAAACTGACGTCAACCAATTATTTATCTGAGGATTCTTCAGCAACTTAACAGAAAATCTGATTCTCAGTTACTACTGGTATAATTTACATTCGTCGGTAACATTAACTATAGAATATACTACCCCATTTGAAACTCGTCAACCCACTACATATACAATAAATAGCGTTAACAGTCCCAGTCTGATTCAAGTTTATCTATCCGTTTAAACACTGGACTAGTAAGTTACAATGCCAACATATTGTTAAACAGAAAACCGCTATTATAATCGTAGGCAAAATAAAGACATATGGAAAGACTACATGTTAACGTATTCTGATAAATTCATATTAACCAGTTTTGTACAAAACACTAGACAGTCTTTAGGTTATCATACAAGATTACCAGCAGACGTGTGTAGTTCATTTCAATCAGACCTTTGTAGTAAAATTAGATTCATAAATGCTGACAGAAACGATCTCTTACAGCATGTGTGTTTTTTAATAACAAACATGTTATTTTACAACACGGTTGATGCCTTTTGTCAATTCTAGAATAACTAATTAATCAAAACTATACAGAGCAACATGAAACTCGATAATTCTTCCAGACTATACACGGTTAAATATCACCAATAGGAGAAAAGACAATAATCTATTATAAAATATGCGAATATGGTAGTTGACTTTGAAAAAGCGGATGACAAGTAATTAAAACACTCAATTATCAACAATTAAATTTGAAAAACCTTAAATCACTAGCAATTATGAAAAAAGAAGTTATGGATTAAAGTCGAGTACAAAAAATTTGTACTCACAGTACACTATTAATGATTTATCTTATTTCAAACTACATATATATATATATATATATACTAATTTTCCAAGAAAAATGAAATTTAATAAAGGAAGCAAATGCAAACATTTACGTCGTTCGAACTTGAAGACGTTGAATGCACCGAAATACGATCATCTTCACATAACTTGTCGAGACTGGTTGTATTTTGTAGTTCGTTCGTGCCGCAACTGTTAGTAATAAATACGAAGATTTTACCAGTATAATTTGAAAAAGATTGCTGTTTCGTGTGAAATAAAATCATTTGAAAATTTAAAATAAAAGAAGAAAGACTGAATGGCTTCATATTAGAATAGGACATTATTTTTTCTCCTAGACGAACCACTTTAAATCAAAGGTGGGCAAAATATAAAAGCGATTAGAATTATGCATTAAAGCAGCTACAAGAAAGATAACTAAAAACGATGTCAGGAAAACCCGATATATTTTATACTAAAGTATTAGAAAATGATTTGTAGGCTTTTTAAATTTCCGTTGCGTGATTTACATGAAAAGTTTGCGCCCATCAATTATAGATGAGAAAAATATCATTATGTTGTGAGGCATCCAAGCATGATACCGATAAACAAAATTCCTATATACAAGCCCTCAACAAGCAGCTGAGTGAGAAAGCTAAGGTTAAAGAAGGGAGTCTAATGGAGTAAATCGAATTAAACACATAAGGACTCATTTATATATATATATATATATATATATATATATATATATATATATATATATATATATATATATATATTGGTACAATGCAACCTTCTCATTCAGTGGATGTTGATTAACCCTCCGGCTGAAAGTGATGGAATGGGTGCATATCAGTTACTAATTTTATTACCTTTGTTTTTATTTTGAATGTTCATATGAAGGTTACATGACTGTTTTCGATTAATTTTTGGTTTACCGTCAATAGTATTTTGCATGATTGATTGTTATGGGTCAGAGTTGGGTAAACTTGATCATAAAGACCTCCAATCTCTTTTGAAGTCATTTGAAATTATGCATAGAAGTGATCAGAAGTGAAATCGTTTTAAATAAACATGATACTTTATGTTAAAACTTTAGGAAATGGTGTTTAAAATCAAGCTCAACCTACTGACCAAGCAACTTAAGGAATTTAACTATTGTCAATTCCTAACATTAAGCACACAAGTGAATTCACTGGAAACTGATCAGAAATACACTCGCCAGATTCCAGCGCTCAATTATAAATATCCGCGATGTTTTAATGATTTTAAAATATGTGAATCACAGTGTAATTTACTAGATTTTTCATTTCCTTCTAATATTAAGGGAGTTAATTGTGATCTTCAGTTGGAGTTAGTAGATCTGCAAGGTGATAGGAGCCTGAATGGATGTTAGAAATATGCAACATTGACCAGTTTATATACGTGAAGTTGACAGCGGTTAAATTTTACAACCTGTAAAGTTTTTTCACGTGAAATGTTCTCTGTTTAGGTTGACTTATATTTGCAAACAGACACTTTTATGTATTAGCTTCAATAAGTAAATAATGAAGAACTGGAAAGGATTGCCCACGACAGAGTTCGATGGAGAGTGCTGTTGGGCGGCCTATGCTCCACCACGAGAATTAACAAGCTTAAGTAAGGAAGTAAGTAAATCCCAACCATTCCTGCTACCTTGACGTGGTGGTCGGGCTTGCCTGTCTTGATGATCCAATCGGGCTATACTAGCTGGAACAATCGTTCCTCAAAGTTCTACCACGTCAGACAGGTAGTTTGAAGAGCGATAAGACTAAAAGCAGCAAACTCAAGGTCCGAGGTCGAAGTCGTACTGCTAACTGTACAGAGATGTGATAGAAGCGTAGTGTTTCTCTTAGACAACCAGCATAACGGCGAAGCTGCCTTCCAACAACGAAGGGTATGGTAAGAAAAGGTCGACCCTAAAAACACACACCTTATCCCACGGATATCCGTCCTCGGCAGTAAGATATCAACAACTACGGAGCCAAAATCAAAATTACAAAAAGGTAATGTGTGACCGACCTCGAGCAGTTGTCCCTTGGACACTGCGTTCACGCTTTCAGGTCACGATGACCAACCCCAATCCAATTTCCTTTTCAGGTACCTCGAGGAGGACCCTTCCACGGTGTAGGCAACCGGAAATTGATCACCTCTAACAGCATTCAAGATCACTGTATTCATAATCAATTTCCCCTCTTCCATTCCTATCATTGCTCCTACCTTGACTTTCAACTCTAAACGTCCTCTTTCGAGTTCTTCCTCAAGTGTCACCATGGCCAACGATTCTAGTGCGCGAAACACTGTACCAGTGTAACGGAGTTGAAATTGCTATGATATACTAATACATTCTATTTTCTTTCTATTGCAGGGCGACCAAACATAAACTCTTTAGATGAAGAAGAGCAAGCCCTATGTACACTCACCTCACAAGATGACTCATAAGACTACTTTGTAAACTGACTCTTCCCGCTGTACTCTCGCGCACCGCGCTTCTTGATTTTGAAATAAAGAGGCTCGTGATTCCCACTGTGTTCTCTCTTGGTGTGAAGTCCTCGTTTAACATTGTGTGCTGTGCTGTTTTTCAGATCTGTACTGCTGCTCTCTAACTGCTGATTCCACGTGTTGCAACTGGTGATGGAGGTGTTTACGTCAAAACGCGATGAAAACTATGAGGAACCACCGGTCATTCCAAGCAAGTCAGCAACCGGTGCAATCATCTGCCAGCCACCACTACTGGGAGTCTCGTCGGATTATGCTATTTGAAAGGTCAGGATTACGACGTATCTACGTAAGGTCCCAGCTACCAAACATTTTGACTACCTCCTGTCGTGTTTAGACGACGAAGCGGCAAATGGGCGATTGCCAATGGTTTTACCGCAAGCAACTCATCTGCCCAAAACTGGAAGGTTCTTGATGAATGCTTTTCGTTAACAGTAGACACGCAGCTGGGGACCATGCAGTTCCTGTCGCGTCATCAGAAAACGAGTGATTAACCCATGGAATATCTACACTCCCTGCAGCAAGCAGCAATAGTAGCCTTCCCAAGCTTAGACGTCTCTATTCGGGAAGAAATAATACGCGCACGATTCACAGAAGGCGTTTCGCCAGGTGCACTACGACAGCACCTTCTGTACATGCCACCAAGGAGCATTCAAGGCCTAGGAACCACAGTTCTCCGATTCGTTGCCACAGACAAGCAATCAAACGCTATCAATACACCGCAGTTGTCAGCGAATGCTATTGACCAGCCTGGAGAACTACGTCAGTCCGGCTTCTTTCAAACTGTTTCTGCGGTCAAACGGCGCCCTGATAGACAGTCGCTACCAACTAGTCAACATAACCGGAAGAAGGAGTGTTTTTACTGCCAACGCTTTGGGCGGAGAGCCCGAAAATGTGGGCACAATAAGTTTTGGAAGCCAGGTGAGACCAGTTTTTCCCATTTGTCTTCATATTATTCTGAATCAGTATATCCGATAGCCATAGCTGGTAGTTTACAGGGGGTTCAGACTACTATTCTACTGGATACAGGAGCTTCAGTATCCATTGTGAGAGAAGGGTTCTTAAGCACGTTGAATCGCATAAACCGACAAAAACCATGTTCCTCCACACTAAAAACAGCCGGTGGTGACCTTCTGGATGTACGATCTAAGGTGTGGTTGGAGGTAACGGTGAATAAACACTCATTCCTACACGAATTTTTAGTATGCCACACACTCACTTGGGATGTTATACTTGGAGTTGACTTCATGTTAAAATACGACGTCGTTATACAGGTAGCTAAGGCGGAATCTCGAATGGGGGAAGTAACCGTTCCAACACATCGCCTTAAGAACGCAACTAAGTCGGTAGCTCACGTAGGGGTGTCGGAAGTCATACACCAGGTACAAACCAATAAACAAGTATCAGAGGATGTCCGTCTATCAACCATTTCCTTACTTCAAAAATTTAGTTCTGTTTTCTCAGAGAATATCTCTGGTAATCGGACGACCACGGTACAACACTCTATTCCCACAGGTGGTCATATGCCATTACGTCAACCACCCCGAAGAGTACCGGTATACTATCAGCCTCAGTTAGAATCAATGATAAAAGAGATGTTAGAGAAAAAGATTATTGTGCCATCTTCATCACCGTGGGCTTCACCCATTGTTTTAGTGAAGAAGAAAGACTCCTCCCTTCGATTATGTATAGATTACCGTCGCCTTAATGCTATAACAAGGCGCGACTCCTTCCCATTACCACGGATTGATACAACATTGGATACTATGAGAGGTGCGTGTTGGTTTTCGACTTTAGACCTAGTATCCGGATACTGGCAAGTAGAAGTACGACCTCAGGATAGAAAAAAGATGGCATTTGTTGTACCAAATGGTCTCTACAAATTTCAGGTGATGCCTTTCGGGTTAACTAATGCCCCAGCAACCTTTCAACGACTCATGCAGACGGTTCTACATGGCCTGGTACCACACAAATGTTTGATTTACCTTGATGATATTATTGTGTATGGCAACACGCCTGAACACCATAATGCCAACTTAAGGGTAGTCTTACAGCGTATTAAGCAGCACAATTTAAAGGTGAAACCGTCCAAATGTCGACTCTTGCAGAAAGAAGTACTCTTTCTAGGACATCGCATTACAGAGGATGGGTTAGCAACAGATAAGGAAAAAACGAGCGCCATTATTAATTGGCCACAGCCGAAATCTGCGGAGGAGGTACGTAGCTTCTTGGAGCTCTCTTCTTACTATAGACGTTTCGTGCGCGATTTCGCATCCCTAGCAGCACCTTTACATCGCCCGACGCATAAAAGACGAAAATGTTTGTGGACCACAGAATGCCGACAAGCATTTAACACCCTGAAATCATGTCTTGCTGCTCCACCCATACTAGCTTTTCCAGACACTTCAGATAAAGGAGGTGAATTTATACTTGACACTGATGCTAGCTCGTCAGCTATCGGAGCAGTCCTTTCTCAAACAACACAAGATGGACAGGAGAGGGTCATAGCGTACGCTAGCCGGCGGTTAGATAAAAAGGAGACAAGGTATTCTACGACGCGCCGAGAGATGCTGGCTGTGGTAAAATTTTTGCAACATTTTCGTCACTATCTCCTAGGGCGCCCTTTTCGTGTACGCACAGACCATTGTGCATTACAATGGCTCCGCTCCTTCCGCGAGCCAGAGGGGCAAGTGGCA